TCTGTTTCCGAATAAAAACATCTGTATCCTAAATGGAAACAAATAGATACAATGTTTCAACCGCTGTACATGTGTTCCTTCAGTCAGAGAACTGTCAGAAATAGCGGAGCTCTCTGCAGGGACACTTTTGCCGGCTGATCGGGAAAAATCCGATTCGCGCACCCGAAGTAGGCAAATATTCGGATTCGACGCAAATCGAATTTTTCCTGAAATTCGTATCGAATTCCGGTTCGCCTGGTTCGATTCGCTCATCTCTACTGTTAACCAGTGTCCAATATTTCCTGATCAGCTTCCTGATATGCACGTGCCTGCTCACCAATCCACTGATTCTGAGTTTGGCCATCATGTCTGCTGCATAGTTCCAATTTGTCTCTCTGGTGGTGGTCTCCTGCCTTTCATCCTCTGGTAGAAGTCCACACATCACCACACATGGACTTGACCAGTGACTCCCATTCATCTGCACCAGTTTCCAGCAATGAGACACTTGTGCCAGTCTGATTTATTGCACAATCTGCTTAGTCTATTAGGGGCCCTGGTCTGGAGGTGTAAGAGAGGTTATCCTTATCTCATCTGACTCCCCTCCCAGGTACATAATACATTTTTATGGAATATATATAGATTGAGGGGTTCAAAGTTAAAAAATGTATTTGAATGAGACAAAATGGATCTATATTGTAGACATTGTGCAACTTGAGGTGGTGTAATATAGAATTGTTTTTGCATCAGTATTTTGTCTGTAATATCATAAAGGTTTAAATCACTAATTCCAATAATTTTATGAATTTTCTCAACCAATTAGGCACCATTTTGGCATACATTCTGAAATAAATGTAATAGGGGGTATATGTTGTATTTGAATGTTAGGGGGCAATGTTTTTTTGCACCATTTTTGGCATATATGTTGTAATAAATGTCTACATAGGGGATACTTATTCTTTTTGGCCACAAATATATGAAATCTTTTCAGTCCAAAGATATGTTGGCTGTATTACTTTATTAACAACAATAACAACTAAAAGTAGCTCACAAAATATAAAACACAATAGCAAAGTGGAAATATGATACCAAATATAACACTTAAAATAATATACACAAATATTCAAATCATTTGACATAAGTCCACCAACTGAAAAATGAAAATTGTGATGAAGTGCAAAGTCCTTATTGATCCACTGAGATCACCACGTGAACAACATAACAATAATTGATTGAATAAAGTGCACTCAGATATCACACGTACTCCAGAGGAAAACCTCCCCCAATTCAGTGGCACTCACCAGATATCATGGCTTATCCAAACTACGCTTGTGGTGTCAGCGTAGTATAGATAGGGAATGGAGCGGGTACCTGGTTTTGACAGACACCTGCTCCCACTTCTGGTCAAATCACCTCACTGATCTGAGTGGATGTTTGGCCCCCCTTCCCCTGCAGCCTTCTAGGATGCATCACAGATCCGAGAAAACTGTGGGATCGTTCACAAAGAGCAGTGCGGCTCGAGCATGTGCAGTCAGAACCCGGCTGTGAAGCTGGAAGGCTTCACTGCCAGTTTCCCATAATTAAGATGCCAGCACCAGGAACCCAACGCCCATTGAAGAACTGGCTCAGGTGAGGACAGCACTGGATCACTGGACAGGTAAGTGTCTTTATATTAAAAGTCAGCAGCTGCAGTATTTGTAGCTTCTGACTTTTAATTTTTTGGGGGGAGATTGGAGCTCCTCCTTAAGTTGGTTGATGGCTTCAGAACTCAACAATGATTTAGGAGGTTGAAGGAAAAAACCAGCGCACAATTTGGACCCAGGCATCCAGAGCTCCTGGAGCTCTCAATGCTGGAAAGGCTTTCTGAGACTGCAATCCTGGAATGGAGAGATAGAAAGAAACAGTCATCTAGAGAAGTAAGTTAATGCTTTCTTCTACTACAAAAGAATGTTAGATTGAAACCTCCAGGCTCCCCAGTAGTTGGCTCTAATAAAAAAATGTTCTTGTTAAGAAAATAAATGCTCTGCAATACAGAATATTAATGCTTTACTTTAAAATTATATACAAGGTAATATTTCAGTGGGTATTAATCCATAGCTGTCTTAACTCAACATTAGCAAAGAATGAGCAAAACATCGTGGCACAAGCAAGGTGAAAATGAAAGCCTTTTTCAGACTGAGATCTATGGAAACATCAAAAGTAAGTACTGTAGTCATTATTATTATTCCCATTGCAAATTCTTAGAAATATCTTCTGATCCTGCTACTGAACTCTACTTCATCCAATGTTATGTGATGAGATGACAACAATGCTGCACTAAACCTGGATCCAGAGCAGCATTGTCAACCTCACGAAGGCTGTACCTCCTTGGACTATCATTGTTATGGGGGGCATGGCTATCAACGTTGTCACTGCTGATTTGGAATCCAATAACTTGTCAGTAAACTGACCACATCTAGTCCAGTCCACTTCTTTCTGATGGACAGTAAATGCCTTTGTTGCTAAAACCCTCCTTCTGGGAGCTGTCATGTCTCAGAGAGAAATGGTGAAGGGGAATTTGGCTTATTAAGGCCTTGTTTACACATGCTTCAAAATGTGGCCTTTGACACTCTTTTTTTAGAGCACTCTGAATGCCAATAAAAACATATAAAATGGTTACCTTACAGTCCTGTACACACTTTTGAGTTTGTTTTGCTTCAGAAATTTTGCCCCATGTGTGACCTGTTGTTGTGCTTTACAGCATCTCAAAACCCCCATAGAAGTGTAAGGTCTTGCTTAGACTTGCTTTGCTGTCTAAAGCATGATTGCTTTTCTGACAGCAACAGTCAGGCAGTGTCCCCTCACTGCCTGTTGCTGCCTAGGGAGCTGTTCAAGAGGCAGAAAAAAAACTCTAACCACACCTACATCTCCATTTAGTGTTAGTTGTGCTTTGTGTTCACATCCAGGTTGTCGTGTTCAGCAAGAAGAAGGAGGAAGGTGAGCAGGGACTGGATTGGGGAATCAGTAGATATCACACATGATATACAGTGTGGGATTGATAGAGCAGGAAGGTGGAGGGTGAGGACCAAGCTGGAAACTCAACAGCAAGGAATCAGCACAGTGAGAGATCAGATCAGTAGAGCAGGAGATCAGAAAGAAATCATCAGAGCAGAGTTGAAGCAGAACAGAGCAGGGGATGTGATTCAGGGGGTGGGGGAGGGTTGGGCCTGCTTCTAACTAGGCTATACTACTGGGGGGAAAGGGGTATAGAGAATGTAATATATACAGTATATATATATATATATATATATATATATATACATATACTGTATATACAGTGAAGGAAATAAGTATTTGATCCCCTGCTAATTTTGAATGTTTGCCCACTCACAAAGAAATGATCGGTCTAACAATGGAATGTTCGGTGTATTGTAACACTGAGAGACAGAATAGCAACAAAAAAATTCAGCAGAAATGCGTCTAACAAATGATGACTGATTTGCATGTTCATGAGGGAAATAAGTATTTGATCCCCTTCACAAAACATGGCTTAGTACTTGGTGGCAAATCCCTTGTTGGCAATCACAGAGGTCAGACGTTTCCTGTAGTTGGCCACCAAGTTTGCACACATCTCAGGAGGGATTTTGGCCCACTCCTCTTGGCAGATCCTCTCCAAGTCATTAAGGTTTGGTGGCTGACTTTTGGCAACTCGAACTTTCAGCTCCCTCCACAGATTTTCAATCGGATGAAGGTCTGGAGACTGGCTAGGCCACTCCAGGACCTTAATGTGCTTCTTCTTGAGCCACTCCTTTGTTGCCTTGGCCGTGTGTTTTGGGTCATTGTCATGCTAGAACACCCATCCACGACTCATTTTCAATGCCCTGGCTGAGGGAAGAAGGTTCTCACCCAAGATTTGATGGTAAATTGCCCCGTCTATGATCCCTTTGATGCAGTGCAGTTGTCCTGTCCCCTTAGCAGAAAAACACCCCCAAAGCAGAATGTTTCCACCACCATGTTTGACAGTTGGGATGGTGTTCTTGGGGTCATAGGCAGCATTCCTCCTCCTCCAAACACGGCGAGTTGAGTTGATGCCAAAGAGCTCGATTTTGGTCTCATCTGACCACAACACTTTCAACCAGTCCTCCTCTGCATCATTCAGATGTTCATTGGCAAACTTCAGACGGGCCTGGACATGTGCTTTCTTGAGCAGAGGGACCTTGTGGGCACTGCAGGATTTCAATCCTTGTCGGAGTAGTGTGTTACCAATTGTTTTCTTGGTGTTTTCTTGGTGACTATATATATATATATATATATATATATATATATATATATATATTAATGTTTTTCATCAAAACAGGTAACAATAAAACATTTAATGAATTCATTCTTTTGGGATTTAGTATCAGCAAAAACCTAAATATCTTAATTTTCTTTATTATGCTTGTCATTTACCTTTTAACAATTTTATGGAACCTTCTAATTATCATACTAGTATTCTATAACAAGAGTCTTCAATCTCCCATGTACTTTTTGCTCACCCAGCTGTCAAAAAATGATATATTGCTGAGCTCAGTTATTGCCCCAAAGATGCTAAATGTAGTATTATATGATAATGGAAAAATCACTTTAATTGGTTGCATCATCCAGTTTTATTTTTTTGCTTCCATGGAAACATATGAGTGTTTTCTCCTTGCAGTGATGTGTTATGACAGATATTTGGCCATCTGTAGACCTTTGCATTATTCTGCCTTAATGAATATACAGCTTTGTCTGAAACTAGTTGCAATATGTTGGCTTTTAAGTTTGTCTGTGGTTTTCCTTGATACCATAACATTGTCTAAGTTACAGTTCTGTCAGTCAAATATTATTGACCATTTCTTCTGTGACCTGGGACCTTTGCTAGAAATTTCTTGTTCAGATACTTATATCATTAAATTAGAAATCTTTTTACTAAGCACACCAATCATTATCATCCCAGCTTTTGTAATTATCATATCTTACGCTTACATTATTTTTGCCATCTTGAAAATACAATCTAAGGATGGCAGGCAGAAGACCTTCTCCACCTGCAGCTCCCATTTAAGTGTCGTAATTATGTTTTATGGGACTCTATTTTGCATTTACATTATTCCAAGTGTAGGAAAATTAGTGAACATTAAAAAATTTTTGTCTTTGGCTTATACTGTGGTAACCCCTTTGATGAACCCTATTATCTATGGCCTTAGAAGCCAAGAGATTAAGAAAGCTTTGAAGTTGTCTTCTTTACGTGTTTTACATAAAACTTAAAAGAAAATGTAAAATAAATACATTTCATAACTTTTGAAATTGTTTTGTTTACATATTTTAAATCAAACTTTAAAGAAAATGTCAAATAAATACTTTTTACAACTTTTGAAATTGTTTTGTTTACATGTTTTAAATAAAAACTTTAAAGAAAATGTACAATAAATATTTTTCACAACTTTTGAAATTGTTTTATGTATTTTAAATAAAACGTTAAAGAAAATGACAAATAAATATGTTTCACAACTTTTGAAATTGTTTTGTTTATGTGTTTTAAATAAAACTTTTAAAAAAATGTCAATTATATATATGTTTCACAACTTTTGAAATTGATTTGTTTATGTGTTTTAAATAAAACGTAAAAGAAAATGTAAAATAAAAATGTTTTCCAACTTTTGAAATTGTTTTGTTTACGTGTTTTAAATAAAACTTTAAAGAAAAAGTCAAATAAATACATTTCACAACTTTTGAAATTGTTTTGTTTACGTATTTTAAATCAAAGTTTAAAGAAAATGTCAAAATAAATACTTTTTACAACTTTTGAAATTGTTTTGTTTATGTGTTTTAAATAAAACGTAAAAGAAAATGTAAAATAAATATGTTTTCCAACTTTTGAAATTGTTTTGTTTACGTGTTTTAAATAAAACTTTAAAGAAAATGTAAAATAAATATTTTTCACAACTTTGAAATTGTTTTTGTTTACGTGTTTTAAATAAAACTTTAAAGAAAATGTCAAATAAATACATTTCACAACTTTTGAAATTGTTTTGTTTATGTCTTTTAAATAAAACTTTAAAGAAAATGTAAAATAAATATGTTTCACAACTTTTGAAATTGTTTTGTTTACGTGTTTTAAATAAAACTTTAAAGAAAAAGTCAAATAAATACATTTCACAACTTTTGAAATTGTTTTGTTTATGTATTTTAAATCAAAGTTTAAAGAAAAATGTCAAATAAATACTTTTTACAACTTTTGAAATTGTTTTGTTTATGTGTTTTAAATAAAACTTTAAAAAAAATGTCAATTATATATATGTTTCACAACTTTTGAAATTGTTTTGTTTACGTGTTTTAAATGAAATGTAAAAGAAAATGTAAAATAAATATGTTTTCCAACTTTTGAAATTGTTTTTGCTTACGTGTTTTAAATAAAACTTAAAGAAAATGTAAAATAAATATTTTTCACAACTTTTGAAATTGTTTTGTTTACGTATTTTTTAAATAAAACGTAAAAGAAAATGTAAAAAAAATATGTTTTCCAACTTTTGAAATTGTTTTGTTTATGTGTTTTTTAAATAAAACTTTAAAGAAAATGTAAAATATATATGTTTCACAACTTTTGAAATTGTTTTGTTCACGTGTTTTAAATAAAACTTTAAAGAAAATGTAAAATAAATATTTTTCACAACTTTTGAAATTGTTTTGTTTACATATTTTAAATTAAACGTTAAAGAAAATGTAAAAAAAATATGTTTTCCAACTTTTGAAATTGTTTTGTTTATGTGTTTTAAATAAAACTTTAAAGAAAATGTCAAATATATACGTTTCACAACTTTTGAAATTGTTTTGTTTACGTGTTTTAAATAAAACTTAAAAGAAAATGTAAAATAAATATGTTTCACAACTTTTGAAATTGTTTTGTTTATGTATTTTAAATAAAACTTTAAAGAAATAGTCAAATAAATATGTTTCACAACTCTTGAAATTGTTTTGTTTACGTGTTTTCAATAAAACTTTAAAGAAAACATAAATAAATATTTTTCACAACTGACTTTATCATTTTAGTAAAAATATTTTATTTGTCATGGGACTTTATATGAGGCGCAACACATACAACCGATAAATAGTTTGCGTACGTGATTGATGTTTTATTGATAAATAGATACAAATCTCAATACTTAAAAAACAAATAAAATTAATGGCAAGCTAATTTGTAGTCATTTCTATCAGCACGTTAAACATAATTGAAAGATTACTGGCTATATACATTCCAATTCAAGATTACAGAAAAAATTGCATCTGAAAACTCGACGTGTTTCATGAATCTTTGTTCACTTCTTCGGGAGTAGATGCATACATCTGTAAAGAATAACATCATTTGTAAAGTATATATACTGGTGTTACAATCAAGTCAATGAAGTTGTTCTAGATCCAAGGGCCACCTAAGGGACACAATACCTACAAATCAGCTAAAGATGAAATTGGCAATATTTCCAAAAAAATGATTGCCTGGGATGTCTAGCTTGGGAGCTGTGGAAATATGACCCGTCAGGACCAAAGGGACAGATAAATGGCAGGTACAACATAGGTAAGGTAAAAAATCATACAATCCATAATATCGCCTAAAGTAGTTAACCCCCCTGGCGGTATTCCCGAGTGTAGCTCGGGGTTAAGTTTCAGTACCAAAAGTGGTAACCCCCGAGCTACACTCGGGATTATACAAGAAGAAAAAGAAAAATGTTCCATTAATTAGGGGTGTAGCCACCCATCAAAAAGCATTTCCCCGACTCACCATTAGTTAGGTGTGGATTCTAAACCAAATAAAGCTTATAAGAAAAAAGTTAGCAGCTGACAAGAGCAGACCTGCCAAAAAGATGGTATATTACGAATCCTATGAGGAGTAAATTATCACTATAAGTAATGGATGCAAATATTTTATTGAGATCAATTAGATCATGAAAAGGTTGGCATTTGAATCACGGTATGCACACTGTCAATCATACAAATAAAATTGGTGAATAAAAACAAAAAAAGCGTTCTGCGTTTTCACTTAGCTGCATCGGTATAGACGGCTGAAAAGGCCGAGATGAGTGTTGGACAGAAAATCTTCTGCAAAGGTATTTAGGAAGTCCATAGCGGTTGAATCCAAGTTGGGTGAATCTTCACAATTTAGATTTCTTATTCTTTCTCTTCTGTTTTGAAAGTGTCTATATACTTCCTTCATATATTCATCAATATGGAATGGTGAGGAATGAGTGATAAAACTCCTGGAGAATAAATGTACAATGAATAAAGAATCTTGGAAGAGTCACTCTAAGCATATATCTGCATCTAAAACAACAAGCTTGAATCCAATAGTAAAGAATGGCTTCTAGAAAGGGAATATGACATTATGAACATTATTACCTTCTTTGCAATTCATCATCATTAAAGTTGATAAAGAAAATTGCATTGTATATGGCCAGCTTCAATCGACCGATATTCCTTAAATAGGATGCATTCAGTGGATTACAATGATGGTAAATCTATGATGAATAATAAAGGTATTAACCCCCCTGGCAGTATTCCCGAGTGTAGCTCGGGGTAAAGTTTCAGCATCACAAATGGTAACCCCCCCGAGCTACACTCGGGAATACACTGCAGCGTTGCTACGGGATCCCTTCTACACTTACCTTGTCCTCCTGCGCTCCCGCGATGTCCCCCCTGCAGTGTCCCCTGTAATGTCCTCTGGCCGATGCCGGCATCTGTCTTCTGGGTTCCTTCCCCTGCGACGTCGGGACGTACGGGGGACGGAACTGGTGGGAAATTTGAAAGTTGTAAAATTGACATTCACTAAATCCACTAAAATCACATAGTATAACATTCCTGTATCAAACCATTTCACATACATGTTGTCCCGAGTGCTTTGTCCGGCGCCCTGCCTGCATTTTTACCGCCAAATCTGCCTGGAAACTGAGAAACGTCCATGGCGTCCAAAAAGCGTCCCTTTCGGTCAAAAGCGATTTTAGACCGGCTAGAGAACAGCGATAGTAAATCAGAACCACTTGCAGAATTGAGTGATAATGATTGGTGGGGGAAATTCCTCATCAGACACTGAAAACGATTCTGCGACTTTGCTCAGCGATGTGCGAACTTGGCGCTCTATTTCACATTTCAGTGTTTTTTGGTTTGATTATATTATTGAATTAAATTTATTATTATTATTATTTTTTATGATTATTTATTATATTATAATTTATGATTTCATGTTTCAAATGTTATCCTCCCCGGGATGTTTACTAGACTCTTGTTCGGACAGATTTCAGTGAGTTATTCCTAAAAATTACAGGCCTACAATAAAAAAACAACATATTTCCAAAAATGTACCGCTTTGAGCACAGAAATACTGACATAAGCAGACTGCTAGGGAGGTTAATATAAAGAGAATTTTTTGGTGTACATTGTTCTAATAAATAACTACATCAAAAGGAATGATGTCAACAGAGATAAAGGGGAACAATAGCTACAGGATGGTAGTGGACAGGGAAGGCATGATGGACAATACATTGAGCTACTGGAGAGTGCACCTAAATATATGTGAACGAATAGAAAACACTCTTCTCTTGGGTGATATTATGGAAAACGGTAATCATGTACACTAGCTATTTACTGGTTGTATGTTCACCTCATATAAAGTTCCTGGGCAAATAAAATGTATTGAGGGATATGTTTATATAGGGATAGAGGAACGCCACAAGGTGCATCAGATCACAGTATAATTTGTTGCATTACCATTTCAGATCGTACATCTTTGTATCCATGTTGGACCTAATGAGATTTCAATTAAGTGTGACTAAAAAACAGTTAACTAGCAAAATAAAAATCACCAAAAATAGTTTAACCCCTTGGCGCCAACGTCACACAAATATGCGGCCTCACAGAACTGGGATTTTTTCTGGTGAACCGCATATTTGCGTACCTGTCTTTCTGCCATCCAAGGTGCCCACAATAACACAGTAACAAATTTGATGCATTAGACTTTCAGAACGTAGCAACAAGCGTAACCATGTTGGACCTAAGAGATATTCAACTAGAGTGACTAAAAAACAGTTAACTAGCAAAATAAAAATCCCCAAAACATAGTCTAAACCCCTCATGGCGGCCAACGACACACAAAAAAGGCGGCCTCACAGTAACTCTGATTCTTATTCTAGGTGAACCGCCCGTCCATATTAGCGTACCTGTCCCGGGGGCGCGTTGCATAGCGCACTTCCAGCACAAAGACCTGGGTGTCACTGAGATCC